ATTCCAGGTAGACGAGACTCCACCTTGAGATTTCAAAAATTTTTCCTAGGAGAGTAGGTCAGATAAGCACCTAGAAACAATGGTACAGTTCTAGGCTTACGCATGAAATGTCTTTAGCTGAATACGATGACATGCTTTTGTTTACCCAACATTTTTTTTTTCGAATCTTAACAGAAAATCTTATGTTATTCAATAAGAACAAATTACTATGAGTTTTATATTTCTGAGAAGGTGTGACAGAGGCAGGAGGTGTGACAGCTGTAGGAGGTGTGACAGCAGCCCCAGGTGTGGCAGCAGTAGGAGGTGTCAACAGGTGGAGGTGTGTAAGTATTAGGTGTGTCAGCAGTAGGAGGTGTGTTAGCAGTAGGAGGTGTATCAGCAGTAGGTGTGTGAGCAGTAGGTGTGTCAGCAGTAGGAGGTGTGTCAGCAGTAGGAGGTGTGTTAGCAGTAGGAGGTGTATCAGCAGTAGGTGTGTGAGCAGTAGGTGTGTCAGCAGTAGGAGGTGTGTCAGCAGTAGGAGATGTGGCAGCAGTAGAAGGTGTGTTAGCAGTAGGAGGTGTGTCAGCAGTATGGGGTGTGTCAACAGTAGGAGGTGTGACAGCAGCCCCAGGTGTGGCAGCAGTGTGTGTGAGGAGTAGGAGGTGTGTCAGCAGTAGGAGGTGTGTTAGCAGTAGGGGTGTGCCAGCAGTAGGAAGAGTGTCAGCAGTAGGAGATGTGGCAGCAGTAGGAGGTGTGTTAGCAGTAGGAGGTGTGTTAGCAGTGGGGGGTGTGCCAGCAGTAGGAAGAGTGTCAGCAGTAGGAGATGTGGCAGCAGTAGGAAGAGTGTCAGCAGTAGGAGATGTGGCAGCAGTAGGAGGTGTGTTAGCAGTAGGTGTGTCAGCAGTAGGGGTGTGTCAGCAGTAGGAAGTGTGTCAGCAGTTGGAAGTGTGTCAGCAGTAGGAGGTGTGTCAACAGTAGGAGGTGTGACAGCAGTATGAGGTGTGTCAGCAGCAGTAGGTGTGACAGTAGGAGGAGGTGTGGCAGCAGTAGGAGGTGTGTCAGCAGTAATAGGTGTGTCAGCAGCAGGAGGTGTGACAGCAGTAGGAGATGTGGCAGCATATAGGAGGTGTGTCAACAGTAGGAGGGCGTCTTAACGGCGTTGACGCTTGTCTGCCTCGGTTTGCAGTCGGGCTAACTCGAAAGTATTGACACCTTCTCGTGTGGTGCTCCTACAAGCGTTACGATGTGGTAAAAAAATCCTCAAATTTGACACATATATTCTTTGTACGGGTCATATAATTTAAGCACGAGTACACAGTAATCATTTGATGCCACAAGTAGGGGGTCCCGTTCCAGCGATATATAGTGCGGCTGGGGCGAGGTATGCCATCTGTGATTGTGTTTAGATTCATAATATAGAAAATGACCTGTGATATCAATAACTTTCAGTGAGAAAAAAGTGATAGAAGTGTGAGAATTATATATATATATATATATATATATATATATATATATATATATATATATATATATATATATATATATATATATCACCCCACAGGCGGACTTCTACATACAATCAACACTACCCCGTTAGGATTCGAACCCACGATCTTATGAATGTGACCAGGGAATGCTACCTCTGGGCCACCAGGACACTAAAAGATTGTGGGTTCGAATCCTGACGAGGTGAGGTGTTGATTATATGTAGAAGTCCGCGTGCTTTATTGGGCTAATGAAATATATATGGATCCTCGTGTTTCGAAGCTGGATTTGATAAGATGTTACTCTGATCACCTAAGCGGCACGGGTAGTCCCCATTAGAGGTTCACGGCGCCATAAGCTCGTTGAACAGGTTTTGTGTGATATATAATAGAGTCTAAGACTGCTTTTAGTGTCCTGGTGGCCCAGAGGTAGCGTTCCCCAGTCACAATCATAAGAACGTGGCTTCGAATCCTGGTGAATCTGATGGCACGATATATCTCAAACACTGAACAACTACTTCAGCCTCTATAATTGACTTAAAAGTGAATGAGGGGCATAAGGTAAAACAATTAAGTAAAGCAACACATAAATCAAGAACGGGAGGAGAGACACATTTAAAGACATTCGAAAGTGAGATAAAGCAGAACCCTGTTGGGACACTAGGGAGCCGAAAGGGACATGGTGGGGTAACCCGGAAGAAGACATGAGACGCCTTGGGCTGGAGAACCCACAGAGACGGATGGAGAAGAGAAGATCAGAGACAGGATCGCGGAAAGGTGTGTGGCGCGACCAGTGATAAGCAAACCAGAAACCACTGGAGAATTATATTTATTTATTTATTTCATGTAGATCCACAATGAAAACGTGGATAAGATAAATCTTGATAAAATCACACGGGGAAAAGGGAAACAACGGAGCACCTTAGCTTTTGTCTTTATTCAAGACATTTTCAGAGCTACGGTGCTCCGTTGTTTCCCTTTTCCCCGTGTGATTTTATCAATATATATATATATATATATATATATATATATATATATATATATATATATATATATATATATATATATATATATATATATATATATATATATATACACAGTATATATATATATATATATATATTTTTTTTATCTGTTTTATTTCTAAGCTTACCCTATGTAGTTTTGCTTCGCTGTTTGTGTTTTGTGTTTTTATCTTGTCTTACTTTACTAATATTTTTGCTCTTAACACCTTATCTTCTGAATGTGTTTCGTGTCAACTTTGTTAAGTGCCTCTATCCGTTAATCCTATTCCCGTCATCAACCTATCGCTATAGAGTTGTATCTCTTTCTATCATGGTTTTCATTTTATTGTATAATCTATATGTTTATTCACTATCAGTTATGTTCCTTTACTTATATGGATGCCAATAAAGATATTCTTTTCCTATGTAAATATTAAAGTAAGTTCGCCTCCACAATTATTTGAGATTTTTTGACGGTTTCTTTAAAGACACCACTGTTATAATGCACAGAATATACCTCAATGCAGAACCAAGGAGAATACGAGATTGAATTTACGAAAGTAACTTCTTTTTGTACCAGCAGAACGAGGACAATTCGGCTATAAACAATCGGGCTGGACACCCGCACAAAAAACGAAATAAACAAACCTGGACTAACTGATAAAAAATCTTCAATAATTTTGTTTTAAATTGGTTAAGTTAAGCATGACTAGTTCGTTTTCTCTGCCGTCAGATATTATTTAATCCCATGGTCTCTGGTCTGATTATAAACAAATGAAACTGTTAGCTCACCTTTTTTTCTTTCCTTTTCTGCCCCGCCGCTGGATATTTTATTCACTAAAACGTAAATAACTCGTCATAAATTATGAACAATGATGTGGTTCTCTTATGCTTTACCTCTACGTTCTGCATGTTCTTGCAGTTTACTGTAGTTCTTCCATAATAAATAACGAGTTAGACATTGCATCTTACTTGTTTCTTTGCCTTTTCAACCCACAGATAGTTGTCAATAAATCAATTCTTTTTCCTAGGATATATATTTTTATTTACTTCTGTTCCTCAGATGTTACAAATTGCCTAGGCTTGCTATAAGCATCATCATTCTCCCACGACCTCTTCCTATCTACAGTATAGTTAGTTGTCAACAAAGTGAGAATCCTCCTATTTCCCTTTTCCATTTTCTTATTATATTTTCGCTCTACACTTTCATTTATTAGCGGTTATACGTGACACTCGCACGGCCATGTGTTCCCCAGCCAATTCCCGGTCTTCCAGTTGACCTCCGCCGCCCACAGGCGCCTCACCTAAATATTTGGGCGGAGGTACATGTACCCTCCCATCTTGTGAGGGTGCTGCTAGTGGCCCACTTTTTTCTAGCCCACATTTTTAAGTCTTTGCTTCAACTCAATCGAAATTCGATCATTTCAAAGTTTATTACAATTATATTTCATACAGTAAATTATTTCTAAGTTTTATTTATTCATATTTTGCAAACTTCATTATATTATATTCTTTAAATGTCTTTTATTAAACGAGTATCATTTTCCTCATTATATTTCTTCTGTGCTTATTTACATGTTAGTCACACCTGGGACCTTAACACCCACCTTGTCTTCACCAGACTCCAAGAAATTCATTATCACCTACTTTAATGTACCACCATTTTCTCTGCTCTACATCTACTTCCTCTATACCACCACTACCTCTTCTGTTTCGCCACTACCTCCACTACTCCACCACTACCCTTTCTACTCCATCACTACCTCCTCTACTCCACCACTACCCCTCTTCACCACTACATTCTCCACTCCACCACTACACCTACTTCAGTATCACCCCATCTACCGTACCATTACCTGGTCTTTCTCATAATAGCCTCGTTTACCTCATCTACGTCGCCAACACATACACTCTATTCCATTACTTCAGAATTCTCAAGACACCATTTTTTTTTATCCATTGTTGTTATCCATCATGGTTCCTTTCTGCACTGCCATAATGTTATTTAATCCAGCCACGAGTGTCTTTAATTCATAACGACTTCCTCTTCGCCATAACTTTCTCTATGGACTTCCGTTACTGCCACACGACCTTCACTCCACCACCACCACGACCTCCCTTGTCCCAGTTTTCACCTAAGATGAGAGTGGCCTAGGCCCTAGCATGCCCTCAAGCCCAGCTGCCCCCCCCGTCACACGTATACCTCCTTCTACTAGTGCCCGCCTCTATAGCAACACTCCCTGGGCGTCCCTCATGCTCCGCCCAGCCTTACACTCCCTGTATTCTCCAACCCTCCCTCACTCTCTCTATACCTCTCTCTCTCCACCCTCCCCACCCGGCACCATCCTTTCCCCCCCCATCTCATTTTTCTTGCTAGCCCTCCACACAACGCTAGCTGAGCTCTTAAACCCCTCCCCCTCCTGGCTTCGCGACCCACCCCCACAAGGAACAACCTATTGAGGGCTGGCTGGTATCCTGAGCCAAACTCGTTGTGCAACAAAAAAAAAGAAGGTACGGGGTATATAAAGAGCGAGCAGACAAGGAGGGAACCATAGCAGAGAACATATCCACTAGTGGTCGACAAGTTGCGTCGCTGTTGTGATTGTTGGAGTTACCTGAGAGGAGGTAGGCTGTGAGACTTCTAGCCCGTGCTGGTGCTACTTGAGACGAGCTCTGTACAGAGTGTTCCCATTCCTGTTTTAAGTGAATTAACTACTGCGTGTGTTATTAGATTAAACAAACAAGACGGATCAGTGGTACACATTTCAGGATTCCCTGCACAGAATATTTCATAGTGGCCAAAGAATCGATTGTGTTGATTTTACAACGTATAAAGTGTTGAAATTATTACAATTGAATTTTCGTATGAAAGATTGCCTCGGTACAATCGCATTTGTGTCATGCTTTTCAGTAGAAAATGCACGCACGGTTTCTACTAAAAATTGCAAATGAAGAGATTCTGTGACGGATTATCTAGTGGTGGGAAGCGCACAGCCAGGGAAAGGCAAGTGTTCTGTAAGAAAACAAAAAGATCCAATGGTAACAGGCAATAGTTGAGAGACCCGACCTTACAGTAGAATAGTGATAATATAGTTTTTAAAGAGTTTATGAAACCATTGAAATAATAATTATGATCAGTACAACCAACCTATTAGGATTCTTTTATAATATGCATGGCAGGTAAACGCTCACGTCACAGTTTCTGAGTGCGGGTGAAGTGAAACGACAAAGAAAACAAAGCAAAAAACTGAAAAAAGATATTTTTATCTTTAAGTGCAGGCGATGTCGTGTAAACTATTTCCACCAGGTAACCTTATGTGTATGTATAATAATCAAACATTATTTACCTGTACCTGCACACATCTGTCTCTTGAACATTTGGCGGAAATTATTAAGTTTGTATAGATGAGAAAATAACCTTTGATTTGTTGAGAAGTAGTTTATATTTTAAGAGTTATTATAAAACATAAATAATATTTTTTTCAGACTATAAACCGATTCCTCTTTAATAATCAACAAGACGTCTGAAGCCCAGCAGTTTATTCACATCTTAATTAATCTAACTTAGAGGAAAACCTGAACACCAGACAACAACGATTTATAACTCAGGTATAAGTGATATGATATTATTATAGAAACACATTAAAGAAAATAAAAAATAAAATGCTCTAATACAATATAAATTTGGCTCAGTTGTCGAGATTTTAGTAAGCCCGTAATTCTATACTTAGTAATTATATATAAAAGAATAAATTCTAAGAAATATTTTCCATTGAAAAAGAAATAGTCACCCATATTAAAGACATCACCAAGATATGACTTTCTGTGTAAACCAAACGTTCAAACGTTCTTCTGGGTGTTACTGTGTAGATCAGACCTATCACAAGGAGGAAACTGTATGAACCAAGAGCTTCTACCAGGATGTTATTGTGTAAATCAAACGGCCATCAGGATTTCACTTTGTAAACCAGAGCGTCTGCTATGAGAACGTCTATGAAAGCGTTGTAGATGATTATAATTAGGTTATAATGAAGGTTGTGATGGGGAATATACATAAAACATTCGTAAAGAAGACTGATAGAGTGTTGATCAATGGCTGTACTTGTAAACAAAACATCCCCCAAGAACGGAAAATAAACCTTAAAGGTCAAGTCAGGTTAGGAAAACTTTAAGCTGGCTCTGTCTATCTCTTTAGTTATCTATATCATTTTATTTGCGCTCTCTCTCTCTCTCTCGCTCTCTCTCTCTCTCTCTCTCTCTCTCATCCTAAATTATTTTGAGCTTCTTTCTCCCATATATTCTTCGCCAGGACGGGAAATTTACATGGCCTGTCATTTCACCCTCCCTCACCATACTTTGCAATGACCAACTCTTGGAACCAATACGCCAGACGAACGTTAGACCGACTTTAGTTTGTACCAGCGACGCTCATTTTACGCAGAACAAAAAATGAGTTCATTCAGGATTAGTACAAACTCATGAGCTGCATTTAAAAGGTAAATTATACTTGAATCTACAATGAAAAAAAAAATATATATATATATAATAATAATAATAATAATAATAATAATAATAATAATAATAATAATAATAATAATAATAATAATAATAATAATAATAATAATAATAATAATAATAATAATAATAATAATAATAATAATAATAATAATAATAATAATAATAATAATAATAATAATAATAATAATAATAATAATAATAATAATAATAATAATAATAATAATAATAATAATAATAATAATAATAATAATAATAATAATAATAATAATAATAATAATAATAATAATAATAATAATAATAATAATAATAATAATAATAATAATAACAATAATAAAAATAATAAAAATAATAATAATAATAATAATAATAATAATAATTATAATAATAATACGAAAAAAAAGTCACGGATTTTGTATCTCGACCTGGGCCGTGTTACAGCGTCCCATGATGGCTCCTGAAGGAATGTAGTAGTTAGCGTATAATTATTTTTCATATCTGTATGTTACCTGTATTTTACTACTAATAATAACACTGGTAGTACTTTAACACTAATACCAGTAGTAATAATGATATTCTGTGTGTCTATGCATGATGTGTATCCAGAGAGCCTATTACAATATTATTAAAATAAAATATTTAATTTCCTGGAGTCTTCAAGCCCAGTAAACTCTAAGAGTTATAGGTCATGGTATTGAAAATATATATACAATAAGATGCTATTGTGTAAATCAGACCTTTTCCCAAGATGCCATTTTTCAATTCAGATCGTGCACCTTGATGCTCTTGTTTAAATCATTATGATCATCAGGAAGCAACATGGTATGCGGGTAACCCGAGGTATGGAAGAACAGGTCTGGTCGAGCGACACCCAACTCCCCGGTGTAGGGGTTGGGAAATGGAGAGATGGAGGTCAAATGTATAGAAATTATGAGCGACCCAAATTCTCGACCGCCTCCCCGACTCTCTTTTTCTTCCTCCACGAGTCAATCGATTCTGCCACAAGCCAACAGAATCAGCCATAACTCGACGTAATCAGTTAAAAGTCGACATAATCAGCCACGAGTAGACAAAGTCAGTCACAAGTAAACATAATTCAGTCACAAGGCGACAGAATTCAGCTAAAAGTCGATGTGTACTGTATAGTCACAAGTCGACAAGATCAGTTACAAGTCACAAGTTGAAAGTAAACCAGATATCGTCAGTATCTCCCACAAATCGACAGTGTATGCCAAGAGACGACAGTTACCTAATGCGTCACAAAAATGAAAGAAAAAGGTTGGTATATATACAAAATTATATAGTTTTTTTATCTATAAACTACAAATACCATTAATCTCGGACCATGTTTTCATGGTTTGAGATGACCGGCTGAACACACACACACACACACACACACACACACACACACACACACACACACACACGGGGGTCGATGAGCCCTGCTGATCTTAAGAGTCGGAGTTTACCTGACTAACTCACTTGTGTAAGTAATAAGTAACAAGAGTGCAGAGGTCTTATTGCAACTATATCTTGCGCTAGTCAGGCCGCACCTCGATTATGCGGTTCAGTTCTGGTGCCCTTATTATAGAATGGATGTCAATTCACTAGAGTCGGTGCAGCGAAGAATGATGAAAATGATTCCGGGACTTAGAAACCTTCCATATCAGGATAGGTTAAAGAAACTAAACTTGCATTCCCTAGAAAGACGAAGAGTGCGGGGAGACATGATAGAAGTATTTAAGTGGGTAAAAGGAATCAATAAAGGGGATATAGATAAAGTTCTTATAATATCCAAGCAGGATAGGACTCGGAGCAACGGATTTAAGTTGGATAAGTTTAGGTTTAGGAGGGAGATAGGAAGGAACTGGTTCACAAATAGGGTGGTGGACGAGTGGAACAAGCTTAGCAACTTGTAATAAGTGCTGGAACGCTGGAAAGTTTCAAAAGGAGGCTGGATAGATTCATGGATGATAGAGAGTGGTAGTAACTCTCGACAGGAGCTGCCATGCACAGGCCAACCGGCCTATTGCAGACTCCTTATGTTCTTATGTTATACACATGACTCACCTAAACACTCACCCACACCTGACTCACCCACGTACTCGCCCACTCACTCGCCCACGCTTGATGCCTCCTCACACACTCACCTATTTTACACTTTCGGTTTTAGATTCAATTAGATAAACACTCGCAATAAATGATGATGTTCTTGATGTTGCTGTTGTTTGTTTTAAATAATTACGTAAAATAGCATAAATATTAGCACAAGACAAAAGGGTCGATTTATCGCGTAATTCTTGAGACACTTCTTAAAATTCACCCACAGTAGATTATAATTCCCATTTCTCTAAGACAGTTCATATTGCTTTAGAAAATAGTGTCTCCGTCACAGACAGTGTACCGACCATGAGTTCACTGTTGGAAGAATTGTTCACAATACAAATGCAACAGATTAAATCTACTTATGGATATTGACTTTTTTACGCGTATAATTGCAGCATCATAAAGACGAAAGACAGAAGCTACAGCGTGTGTGAACATATACCATAATCTATAATACAATCTAACATGTTAAAGTGGTGTGCCTGGAGCTTACAGACAAGTACTGGTAACTTGTAGAAAACTTCAGCATAGTCCTTTTCCGTTTCTTAATTATTGTTAAAAGTACAAGGAAAAAACTAAACCTATAACCTACGAAACGTAGAATTAAAATTAAAAATAAACAAGCGTGTAGGAAATAGTCAAAAGAATTGAAAGTGTGTAGAGTGGCTCCGGTCTGGTGTTGGTGGGTCTCCAGCCACTAACATCTGTACCACACACACATGTTAATGTTTGATGTGTAAACTTTTTCTACCTTTATATCTATCTAGAGCTCATGAGTCTCATCTATAATCTCTTATGTTGATTTTTGTTTTCAAAGTGAGTCGTCAGATTTATTTCATCATCGTCAAAACTAACCAGATAAGTATATTTCATTGTATAATAGTTAATGCCCACAGGTTCAATCAAAGTAAATTTAAACTGGACTGGGATCTGGTCTCACACTAACGGCACTTCAAATACCAGAGTAAACTTTGGCATATTGTCACTGTACTGAATTGCTTCAT